ACTTATTTTAAAAATTTGACCAGAGAGAGAGAGAGAGAGAGAGAGAGAGAGAGAGAGGAAGCTGCCAGGTCTGGAACTTGAACCATGCTTGGCCATGTGGGAGTCCAGCGCTCTTAACCACCACGCCACCTGCCAGTCTCGGGCCCAGCCTCTCTCGAATAGCACATTACTGCTGAGCCTTGGACTGGCCCAAGATTAATCTTTTTTCTTTTTAAATATTTTTTTTGTCATAGGGTGCGTGTCCATGTTGGAGAGAGAGAGAGATACAGAGACAGTGAGAGGGAAAGTGAAAAATCGCCCCCAGGGGGGTTGGCCACGCCACAATCCCTTCTCCATTCTCCTCTCCTACGCCACCTGCCGGCCCCAAGGTGGTTCTTTACTTACTGTCTAAGTGAGCATGGAAAACAAATGTAATTAGCGACCCTCAGCGGGGGTGGGCTGTGGACAGTTCTCACTCCTCTCAGGATCTGGGGCATGCATGCATACGCCCTGTGTGTGTTTGAAGCCACCGGGTCCAGGACTCGAACCGCTGTCAGACATGTGGGAATCTGATGATGTAACTGCTATCCCATCTGCTGGCCCCACCCAAGGTTAGTCTTGAAATTAATCTTTCAACCTAAGATACTGTACAGTTAATCAAAAGACAAATTTCAGCATTGTAGAGCTTTTCTGACTGCTGAGTAGCATAGTTCTTTATTTTTTAAAAAGAATTATTTATTTACTTCCATTTGTTATTATTTTTTAATTTGATCAGACAGAGAGAGAAAGGAAAAGCAAGACAACAAGCCACTGGGTCTGGGGCCTGAACCGCAGTCACCACGTGGGAATCCAGCATCCTTAACCCTACGCCACCTGCCGGCCCCAAGGTGGTTCTTTACTTACTGTCTAAGTGAGCATGGAAAACAAATGTAATTAGCGACCCTCAGCGGGGGTGGGCTGTGGACAGTTCTCACTCCTCTCAGGATCTGGGGCATGCATGCATACGCCCTGTGTGTGTTTGAAGCCACCGGGTCCAGGACTCGAACCGCTGTCAGACATGTGGGAATCTGATGATGTAACTGCTATCCCATCTGCTGGCCCCACCCAAGGTTAGTCTTGAAATTAATCTTTCAACCTAAGATACTGTACAGTTAATCAAAAGACAAATTTCAGCATTGTAGAGCTTTTCTGACTGCTGAGTAGCATAGTTCTTTATTTTTTAAAAAGAATTATTTATTTACTTCCATTTGTTATTATTTTTTAATTTGATCAGACAGAGAGAGAAAGGAAAAGCAAGACAACAAGCCACTGGGTCTGGGGCCTGAACCGCAGTCACCACGTGGGAATCCAGCATCCTTAACCCTACGCCACCTGCCGGCCCCAAGGTGGTTCTTTACTTACTGTCTAAGTGAGCATGGAAAACAAATGTAATTAGCGACCCTCAGCGGGGGTGGGCTGTGGACAGTTCTCACTGGCGCGAACCCCCTGTCCCGGCGGGCGCAGCACCTCCGCAGTGAGCCTGCTAGTGTGGCAGTGTCCTTCCGTTTCCCCTGCCTGTCCCTTCCCTCTGTGGTTGCAGGCATGGCTGCCACCCGATGTCCCCACACTGTCCCCAGTCACGGCAGGGGTGGAGGTGGCCGACGGAGCCTGTTCTGACTGGACTGTGTGCTCTGTCTCCGTCTTGCAGAAGGCCCGAGGGGAGCCACCCTGCTTTCCAACTCCCCTGGTGACCGGCCAGGCCTTCTCGGTGGCACTTGGGAAGCCTCTGAGCATGTGTCCAAACGTGAGCAGGGCCAGGCTGCTTGCGCCTCTGCACCCCCATCCCAAGGCCTCCCGTGCCGGCTGCTGTTGCCCCCACTCCCGCAGAAGCGAAGCCAGACACCCTGTGGGCCAGTCAGGCATCTCGCAGCCGCGGTTAGCGAAGCAGAGGGCCGTGACGTTATCAGCGGTCCCGCTTTCTTGACCTTCATTCTCGCGGTGGCCTGGTGTCTTGGCTTCAGACGAAGTGGCCGAGGGTGGGAGGGCACACCTGTCAGTCTTGAAATACACACTGCGTCCGAGATGGGTGAACTCCGTGAGCACAGGCAGGACTAGGGGCTCACAGCTCCAGCGAGGGCACCCTCCGCCCGCTTGCCAGCGCAGAGCAGAGGTTCCTGCACTCCCAGAGCTGCTGCTGGGGGACGGGAAGGGGGCGGGGAGCCTGAGGGGACTCAGCAAATGGCCAGCCCAGTAGTTATTGAACGCTGCCTGGTGCCTGGGAGAAGTTTCTCTGGATTCTGATCAATGGTGTGCTGGGCAGTGAGGACAGCAAACAGCCATTTCTCTCCTGCCTTTAGAAGAGGTGTGCCCTCTCCGAAGGGCAGTCTGTGTGCTGGCCTCAGGTGTGAGTGTCAACGACAGCGCACTCTGCCTTAGAGGCCAGGCACGGGCATCTCACGGGGCCAGGTGCTCTGTGGAAGGAGTCAGAGCCCACCTGCATGCCATCTCTGGATGCTTGATGGGAAGCCCCGAGTAAGGTGGGCCTGCGTCACGGGATGGCCGGGAGCTCCTGGGACTGGAACTTGGTCCCCTGCCTGTGTGGAGGCCAGCCGGTGAGTGGCGCTGCTCTTTCTGCACAGAACGCTGGTGCGGGCGATTTCCCGTGGGCAGAACTGTAGGAAGCCGCGGCACCGGTGGGTGTACGGGGTGGCTCTCAGCAACGTCCTCAGCAGCGCTCTGTGGACGTAGTTGGACACAGTTATCGTGGCTGACGTCTGACCGGCCTCACTGTCAGACAGACGTATGTTGCAAGGGCCCGTGCAGAGCCGTGTGGTCCTCCTCTGGGGACCATGAATGCGACCACACTCCAGGAAAGGTGCCACCCCTTCCTAGTCTCTGGGAACTTCTGCTGGCATGGGGGTAGCAGAGCCTGCCCCGGGGCCTTTCGGTCGCTCCTTGTTCTGAGATGGGTGCAGGGAAGACCCTGACCGGCCCTTCTGCCTGTGCTGGCCGTCCCGAGGGAGGCTTTCTGGAACACGCCATGAGCCTTCTGCTGTCCGCACTGCACAAATGGCCCCACGCTTGTCAGTGTTACATCCAGAGACAGGATGGGAGAATGTCAGCCAAGCAGTGTGTTTTTACAGTGCGTATTTATGTCCGCCAGACTACCACGCAGCAAGACGACACCCGACCGCAATCTTTTCTCCATGAGAGGTGGAGAGAGAGTCGTGTCTGTAGAAAAGGGGGGGGGCATCTTAGAGACAAAGACCTTGTTAATCAGTCTCCAGATTCTTTTTACTTATTAAATTGAAGTCTTAGAAATGCATCATTCTCCTGGGATTAGAAGTCACTCGGTTGATGCCGTCTGATTACGCAAGTCTGTACTGAGCTCATGGGAGGCTGATGGGACGGTCAGTGCTTTGCCCACGGTGCCCTCGCTTTCCCTTCTGACTGCACCGGGCCTTTCACTTTCCCGTTGAGAAACCTCTAAGAAGAGAGGGTGTGGATGGAGCCTAGGTTGATCCCCAAGATACAGGGGGAAGGGCTTGTGCTCGAAGCCGTCAGCAGCTGCGCCATAGACAGGAAAACTGCTGTGGAAGCCAGCCACGTCTGGTGGGACCTGCGTGGTTAAGCTAATAGCCGTGGGTCAAGTGGGGCTTGCTTGGTCCTAAGTGTTAAGTCTCTAGAGGAAGGGGGTGCCAGATGGCAGGAAGAACGCCTGTGCCAGGCCTGGCCACTCTGAGAGCTCACCGGGACTGCCGCATAAGAGGCACCTCGCAGGGCCCGGCACTGGCCACCGCGGGCCACCTGGTTAGGAAGGTGCAGGAACCCTCTGTCCCCATGAACCCCCGAAGCCCAAGTGACACTGCAGAGGTCTGCGGAGCGCGTCTGGAGGGCTGAGATTCGGGGAAGCTGACTTGGTGTTTTGGAACATGAATTTTCAGCTGGTCTGGTCTGAGATGGGTGGTGTCCCCACACGCAGCCTTCCTGTGGCCACTGGAGATCCAGACCTCCACCTGTGCACTCCTCGGCCACTGCGGTTCTTCTCTGCTTTGACTCCGATTGGATTTGGTGCTGGGCTCCCTGCTAGCGGAATGCTTTGCGTTTGTTTATGGGATATTTAAATAAACTCGCTTACTTTCAAATCGGTGACAAATAAAACTCGAAATTACGTTGTTTTTGAAGAGAATAGTTCATGTTCCTTTTTTCATAGCACAGTCTATACCACAGTAAGGGTGTGCCAGCCACGATGGCAGTCAGAGCCGTTCTCGGAGGTCGTGCGTGCGCGCGCGCCGTTTCCCTGTCCTTGCCAAGAGGAGGTAACTAGGGAGTGAGCGTCGCGTGGCTTCCCCTCGGCTCTGGCTAAAACCCGCAGGACCTCAGACTCGTGTAGTCGCCGCGGCAGCGGAGAATTTCCCGGTCGGGGCGAAGCAGCGCAGCCCTCTGGCCTCGGTCGCCTCTCCCTGCGGGTGTGCGCGCGGGGACGCGTCGCCACTGCGCCTGCTCCACTGCGGCGGCCGCTTTGCAGTCGGCGTGCGCGGAGCTGGCGCCGCGGCGGGCGTCCCTG